TGGTCTAAAATATAGACTGCTCCTTCTTGTCTGTGACCCTAGTCTAAAATATAGACTGCTTCTTCCTGTCTGTGTCCCTAGCCTGAAGGATAGACCGCTCCTCTCTGTCTGTGTCCCTTGTCTAAATTATAGACCGCTCGTCTCTGTGTCCCTAGTTTAAATTATAGATAGCTCCTTCCTGTCTATGTCTCTAGCCTAAAGGATAGACCGCTCCTCCCTGTCTGTGTCCTTTGTCTAAATTATAGACCGCTCCTCTCTATCTGTGTCCTTTGTCTAAATTATTGACCGCTCCTCCCTGTCTGTGTCCTTTGTCTAAATTATAGACCGCTCCTCCCTGTCTGTGTCCTTTGTCTAAATTATAGACCGCTCCTCTCTGTCTGTTTCCTTTGTCTAAATTATAGACCGCTCCTCTCTGTCTGTTTCCTTTGTCTAAATTATAGACCGCTCCTCTCTGTCTGTTTCCTTTGTCTAAATTATAGACCGCTCGTCTCTGTGTCCCTAGTCTAAATTATAGATAGCTCCTTCCTGTCTATATCTCTAGCCTAAAGGAAAGACCGTTCTTTCCTGTCTGTGTCCGTAGCCTCAATGATAGACTGCTCCTTCCTGTCGCTTTCCTGGTCAATTCCTGTTCCCAGGACTTTAACTTTGCGCCATTTAAAGCTGAGTTGACCTGAGAGCCAAGGTCTTTTTCAAAAATAGTCAGGATCTGCATGGATTTAAACCCACGACACTCGGATCCGCAGGCGAAAGTTTAACCGCTACACCACGATGGCTTCCTAGTTCGGAATCGGATTGTGTCACAAACTCGATCAACGAATACCAAGACTGCTATTGAAAAACACAAACATATGTTTAGTTGCTGCTTCAGGACCCTGTTATCGCCTGCCTTGGCAACAGCGCCAGAACCATCAGAACCAACAGCAATAGCCGCATCAGCATGTGCGCCGTCACAGAGAAAACATTGTGCTCAGAGCTCCCTCCCCCACCCCACCCCACGCCTCCTTGATTTTCTAAAAATAGTTGTAATTATTGTTATAACCACAATTATTATTATTGCGCAATTAAACAAAGATCTGTTAACCCTATTTAAAATTTACTGGCGGGGGGAGGAGGGGCCCCGTGAAATTAGTTCATTTTTAATTTCGACATTAAAATAAGAATAAGAATAATTAATATTTATTGTTATTGTACGCTGAATGGCAGAAAAGGTAATATTTACAATATTATGTAATGTTTATTCTTTGTTTTGAAAGAAGAAGAAAAAAAAGTGTAGGAGGTGATCCCCAAACATTATTGGTGGCTGTCAGGAAAAAAAAAAAGGGGGGGGGGGAGGCGGTTAGGTAGACATAGCATAGCCGGGTGGAAAAAAAAGAGAGGGGTGGGGGTGGATATAATAAGCTAAATGTGCCTCACGCGCCCCCTCCTCCCCTTTCCCCCATTCCGGCGCCTATGAAAAGCTGCTCTCCCCCACCCCCCCCCCCATTCCGGCGCCTATGAAAAGCTGCTTCCCCCCCCCCTCCCCCATTCCGGCGCCTATGAACAGCTGCTTTCCCCTCCCCCCCCCCCCCATTCCGGCGCCTATGAAAATCTGCTGTGCATCCGGCACAGCTGGCCGGACCTCTTGCTAGTCCCGAGCTGTGGGGTTCAGAGATGAAAGCTTGATGAGGCGCAGTGTTATTGCCAAGATAATAAGTGGAATACCGATGCAGATAGCTGCCAGAGCCAACCAGCGTGCTGTCCTACTGTAGGCTTGGGCAGTGGTCACATCCCCACGGGACAAAGCCTTTCTGGACTGGGGATAAAGAACGTAGTTGCAGTAAATACCGGGGCACTTTTTTTTTTTAGATTATCTGATCTCGCTGACTCCGAGATTTCGTGGGGAGTTCCCGGGAAAGTGTAATATTATGGGAAGGGGGGAAATGGATTTAGGGCTAGTGATAGTCGGTGTTCATTTCACACCCTGAGACCTCTTTACTAATGGACTTTCCAGGGAGCTCCCCAAGAAATCTCCCGGAGTCCCCAAGATGGTGGGTGAGTTTAAATAAAAGAACCAACACTGCGTAACACAAACTCGTATAAGAACAGCACTTCGTGAAAAATTAGTCCTCTTCGATACATTCTGAAGTCGTGAACTGATTAGAAAAAAAAAGTAGATTCGTAATTCCGTGGTACTGCATTTGAACCCAGTTGCGGGCGAACTGGAAACAGACCGCCTTGCGTTATTTGTGACAGTAGCATCGAGAGGAAGAACTGGCTAACTACTGAATGTAAAAGTGCCTTGTGAAGTCACAAACAGTCATAAAATGGTGGGGTAGCTCTATGACGTCCTGTAAAAGTTGCTGATGAAGGCTTTTCGCCGCCACGACTTCTGACTTCCTTATAATTGATTTTGTACAGCTGACATTTGGGTATGATTTTCTGATCGTTTTCTGTTTTTTTTTTCTGTATCTTATATTTTCCTATTCCCCACCCCCCCCCCCTCCCTCCTCCCTCACACCCAACCTGTAAGGATGTAAAATGATCACTTTCCACCCCTTTAGGCGCGTTAAGCCTGTATGGCTAGACCTATATTTCGTAGACTAATCGGTAGTAGGTGAATGAAGTGGTCAACGCCACGCCGGTCGCCTTTACTTCCCAGGACTATCTAGTAGGCATTCAAGGCTGGGTGGTCCGTGGAGCTGAGGTCATTTCTGGACACACACAAGTCCGGTTCTGTCAGCATCTGAACCCACAACGTCAGGATTCACAGAAGTTCTCCAGTCGTACCTAACATAACATGACATAACATAACATGACATAACATGACATAACATAACATAACATAACATGACATACATGACATAACATAACATGAGATGACATAACATAACATGACATAACATGACACAACATGACATAACATAACATGACATGGCATAACATGACATGACATGACATGATATAACATGACATAACATTGCATAACATGACATTACATAACATAACATAATGTAACATAACATGACATAATATAACATAACGTAACATGCCGCCAGCATGTTTTCTAGAGAAATAGCCCATCTTAACATAACATAACATAAAAAAATAACATAACCTAATAACCCTTGACTCGTTATTGTCGTGGGGGTGTATCGATGGAAGCACTAACATACAAAACCTGCTATCTTTCTCTGTCTTTCGCTTGTTGAACAAGTGTATTATAGTTTAGTCTTTTCTATTTCTTGATGTTGTCATTCCAGATTCTTCGTTGTCCTCTTCGTTTGTGACCGCCCCGCAATGTTTTTTGAAGTACAGTCTTTGCAATCGAATCATGTCTGACCACGTTCCCAAAACCCGCTAGCTTGCGAAGTTTCAAAACTGCCAAGAAAGGCTTCAGATATCCTTCAGATGTGTCAGTTGTGTATCTAGTTTTGTGTTTGAAACAACTGATTCCTTTATTACGTCTATAGAATTTGTTTTTGAACGGCTGAAACCGCCTTTAAAATCTCCACAGTGGGAGTCCAACTCTTCTACTAGTATAAGAATTTAGACAACCCCACGGTAAGGTTCGTTAGTTAGTTGGCTAGACAGCTAGTTAGTTAGTTGGCTAGACAGCTAGTTAGTTAGTTGGCTAGATAGCTAGTTAGTTAGTTGGCTAGACAGCTAGTTAGTTAGTTGGCTAGATAGCTAGTTAATTAGTTGGCTAGATAGCTAGTTAGTTAGTTGGCTAGACAGCTAGTTAGTTTGTTGGCTAGATAGCTAGTTAGTTAGTTGGCTAGACAGCTAGTTAGTTAGTTGGCTAGACAGCTAGTTAGTTAGTTAGATAGACAGCTAGTTAGTCAGTTGGCTAGATAGTTAGTTAGTTAGTTAGTTAGTTAGTTAGTTAGTTAGTTAGTTAGTTAGTTAGTTAGTTAGTTAGTTAGTTAGTTAGTTAGTTAGTTAATCAGTTACCTAGTTAGTTAGTTAGTTAATTTGTTAGTTGTTTAGTTCGTAAGTTATTTAGTTAGTTAGCTAGTTAGTTAGTTAGTTAGTTAGTTAGTTAGTTAGTTAGTTAGTTAGTTAGTTAGTTAGTTAGTTAGTTAGTTAGTTAGTTAGTTAGTTAGTTAGTTAGTTAGTTAGTTAGTTAATTGGTTGGTTGGTTGGTTGGCTAGTTAGTTAGTTAGTTAGTTGGTTAGTTAGTTAGTTAGTTAGTTAGTTAGTTAGTTAGTTAGTTAGTTAGTTAGTTAGTTAGTTAGTTAGTTAGTTAGTTAGTTAGTTAGTTAGTTAGTTAGTTAGTTAGTTAGTTAGTTAGTTAGTTAGTTAGTTAGTTAGTTAGTTAGTAAGTTAGTTATTTAGTTAGTTAGTTAGTTAGTAAGTTAGTTAGTTAGTTGGTTAGTTAGTTAGTTAGTTAGTTAGTTAGTTAGTTAGTTAGTTAGTTAGTTAGTTAGTTAGTTAGTTAGTTAGTTAGTTAGTTAGTTAGTTAGTTAGTTAGTTAGTTAGTTAGTTAGTTAGTTAGTTAGTTGGTTGGTTGGTTGGTTGGTTGGTTGGTTGGTTGGTTGGTTGGTTGGTTGGTTGGTTGGTTGGTTGGTTGGTTGGTTGGTTGGTTGGTTGGTTAGGCACATCGGACAAGTTCATGAGCGGTAGCACCCTATCTTCAGTATATCCTTCAGCGTGTGCCGACTAATAACACCAGTTCTGTGTTGGTTTACTATTCTTCTTTGGCTACCTGTATAGTGTTCATATTTGGCGAAACCTCTTTTGACATGAAGTTCGTGTATTCTTTTGAGTGTTGTCGAGTCATCGTCGTCTTCTGAATAATCTTCTCTTCCTGCCTCATTAAGGGCACTGATAATGTCGGCACTGTCTATTGCTTCTCCTGTACCTACCGTGACCCTTCCAGCAAGCCAGTCCGCTCGTTCATTTCCTCGTACCCCAGAGTGAGCGGCACAAAAACGAAACTAATTCCTTTCAGACGAGATTTCCTCCGCTGTTTAGATGTGCAACTAACTCATCAGAAACGTCGATTTCCATGACATGTTTACCTGAATCGCCATAAAAACGGCTGCTAAACCGTAAGGAAGGTAACAGAAGCAACAGGTGAACAGAGCAAGTCTCAGGTTATCCGGAACCTCAACTATTGTAGCAGAAGATGGCTGGGCGATCACAACTGTTGCGTTCTTCACAATGATTGGCTCTGACTGGAACTGAGACTGAGGTTGTACCTGGAAAATAAAAAAATAAACAAGAATGTGGTCCCCAGCAGTGGCGAGGCGAGATCGATTCGCATGTGTAAGCGTTAACAAGTAGCGATCATGCTAGGGGTGAGTATTAAGTGACAGTTTCCGCCTCTTCGCTTCGCTGTTCACAGTATGCGTCCACATCGTAGTACTTGTTACTAGTAGCTCTCACAAGTTACAGTTTCCGCTTCTTCTGTTCGCTGTTATGAGTATGCCTGTACAGCTAGCATCGTCGTAAAAGCTACAACAGCTTTCACGCGTGACAGTTTCTGCATGAGCGGTGTAAGCATTCGTTTGAGACGTTAACCGAGTGAGGTATTTGTAATAAATAGTAGTTTTAAAATTATAGTAATATATGTAATAAATAAATTCCTAGGACCACCAAGGTGTCCACGACATGGAGGTGACAGCCATTAAATCTAGCCACTCCAGCGACAATGTTGCCAAGTCTCTTCAGAATCGCTTTATATTCACTTTAGGAACTCTGGCACCCAGTGGACTAAACTGCAAACACAGCTTCATCTAGAATCCTAGGGGAGTGAACTGCCTATACACTTTCATCTTATCCTCGAGTTGAGGCCCCTGGCTCTTTCCTGGATTTTTATTTTCCCGTTCGCACGGGTCCCACCCGTCTATTGGCTAGGCATCAACCTGGCTGCTTTGAGATCCGAAGATAAGTGATACTGTGTATTTGTGTAGTATAATTTAATGTATGGGCTGCTGAAGGTTCTATAGCCGCAACGTTAACGTTTTGTTTGTGTTTGTTATATTGTGAAGCTCGCTGATATACTATTCGTTCGCGTTTATAACTTTCCTTGTAGTAAATAGTAAACGGTAATAAAAAAATTAATATAATGATGCATCTTTTCCTTGGCAATGTAAAGTGTAGGCGTGGCTTACAACCATTGCATGCGCAAGTGGACAACGATTATTTTCATGCAAAAATATTGTTATGTGTGTGTGTGTGAGTGTTCGTGTGTGCAATTTAACAGCTACTCGTGTTTAACACTGAGATCTTGCTGAATAAAACTTCTGCTTCTTATTCGCGTTCACCGCCTGTGAACGGCGGTGAAAAGTTCTGGCTGTTCGTCCACCTCTGGACATTAGTCCTGTTCCAGAACCTAAGTGTTGCGTGCACATCCATTTTACAGATCTGAATTACTTGTATGCAGAGGTTTGGTTCCTTGCCTCTCATGCAGATTCACTCCCATTTAGCCCACAGTAAGGCGAGTATTACGACATGCTTGCTGGGGAGACAATGGGTCTTTTCTTGTTTTTTTCCTCACTGGGGTCCCGAAACCCACACAGTGAGTTGGATTAATGTGTTTGTACTCTTATGTGATTACATATTGATGACCATAAAATACACAGACCACACAACACAGCTCTCACGTGAAGTTTTAGATTAACCACAGGACCATTTTTATTATTCGATTTAAAGTGATGCATGTCTATGCTTGGTTAGAAGTCGATTTTATGCATCATCATCATCATTGTCTACTTCGGTCGTAAGAATTCTGGGGTGGAACAGTTTGCTATCCACTGCTTGGAGGGCAGCGATGGTTATTGCTATTCTGTGTCTATGTAGAAGCTTTCTAATTGCTATATCCATAGAACCGAGCCAAAGGGTTAACAACTCATGGTTTATGGATACTTGACACACACACACACACACACACACACACACACACAAAGAGACCTATGGGTGCCACGCTCAAGGAAACCAAACCCCTAACGCTCCGTCAGCTATGATGGCTGATGTGGTAAACATTACACCGGCCTCCTTTACTTCCCTTGAAATTACCTGGTACCTGGGCTGCGTTGACCTGGCAGCCAAAGCGATTTTTTTTTAATTGCGACTTGGTGTGGATTCGAACCCACGATCTTCAAGATGGAGATGAGGGTTATGATTATAAAATCAGTTGAGTAAGAGTTAGTTTTAGCACAATGTTCGCCATTCATCATCATCATCACCATGTAGCAGGTCCTTTGCAGAACGTGGTTCTCATCACGGTCTGCCTGGTCTCTCGACAGCTCTCCTGTCTCATGCACTTTCATTGCATCCGCGCCATCGTTGATCCCAATTCAGAATGAGAAAGGACGACAGTTAGGCGTGGAGCCAACTTCGTCATCCTGCAAAATATAATTTTCTACAAAGCTTGCAGATAAAGAGAAGATTGTGCTGTGTTCGGCATATCCTGGGAAGAAACAAGCAGAAAATTACCAAAAAGACATCAAAATGTTGGGAAAACAAAAAGAGATTGAGGAGACGAAGAAACCCAAAAGGAACTCAGTTTAACGTCAAGGAAAGAGTTCGAAGCTGTTGGACTAAACATCCATGGTATTGGCCTGATTACACAGAGCACACCGGAATTGAGGAACATACATACATATATAATAGCACAACAATGTAATGATTAAATGAATGAATGAATGAATGAATGAATGAATGAATGAATGAATGAATGAATGAATGAATGAATGAATGAATGAATGAATGAATGAAAGTCCAGCACAGTTACCACTGCACGACTCACAAATAGTGTAATACTTACGGTAAAATAAGCCACTGGGGCTGGGGGAGGATCTGCACTGTTGCTGTACGAAGCGAGTTCATCTTTTGCTGAAATGTAGTAAACAAATGTTACAGTTTATCCGACGCTTTACAAAAAAAAAATCTATACGTCAGTTTTACAGCTTTATTACTACAGACAAACTATTGACGTTTCTGTAACTAACCTTCATCATCAAATCAACGTTGAGAAGCAAAACACAACAAGTATACAGATAAACTGATTATGAAATGATTACATTACTATATCAAAATTCACAATTTTGAGAGCATACATCTTTCCTGTAGCAACCAATGGATATGAAATCGTGGACTATCTCGCCTTGGTTAAGGAAGAAGATATGGGCTTTTGACCTAGAATTCTACAGAAAGATTCTCAGAATACCAAGGACCAAGAAAAAGAGAAACACTTACTGGAGTACAAATCTGAACATGAAGGTAGACTGGCCGTTAAACAGCATCTTGTCTCTGACACTGACAAATTTCGCCCATATCAAGCAACACAGCGGATGTAGAGAAAGAAATCAGTTGACATGCTACCGAAAGCGAGAGGCAGCGGCCTACTATCAAGAAGATGGTCACATGCTATAAGTAACACTTTGGGTAGGAAGTGCGGGAGAGACCGAGTTTCTGATAGGATGACACTGATGACGGCCAGGTTCTGCAAAGCAACTGCTGCATGATGATGATTCATACATTATATAATCAATTGAAACAAACTAATATTTAAAGACAAAATTGTACAAAGTGAAGTAAAGGTAAAGATTTTTTTTTCACGCCAGCAGTATATCGGGAAATACGACGATACTACGCCCATTTTGAATAGCACCCTACCTCTTTCTGTCAGCTCCCCCCCCCCCCCCCCCTTTTTTTTCCCAGTGTATGTTTTAACAAGTTTTCAGCTGTTTGTTCCGTATAAGCTAATTACAGACTTTTCTACTGACACAAACATACTGTACACAATAGTTTACAGCAATTTAATCTATGTACATATAACTTGTTTTTCTTTACTTTTTCACCATTTCATTTCTTGCTATTATGGCCGCCCTGACCATAGATACTTCTTTCTGTTAAAGTTTCTCTGATAGTATCTTTCCATCTTGTTCTCGTTATCTAATCCTGTTCAACAATTCACTCTACACCTCTTTCTTATTTTAGTGTATGCCTTGTGTGGTTCAACATCGCAGGGTATTCTCTCCAAGTGTGCAGACCATTTTATTCCATGTCTTTACATGTATTTAGCTACTTTTCTTGTGTGCTACATGTATTTAGTTTCTTTTCTTGTGTGCTATATGTATTTAGTTACTTTTATTGTGTGCTACATGTATTTAGTTACTTTTAATGTGTGCTACATGTATTTAGTTACTTTTATTGTGTGCTACATGTATTTAGTTACTTTTCTTGTGTGCTACATGAATTAAGTTACTTTTCTTGTGTGCTACATGTATTTAGTTACTTTTCTTGTGTGCTACATGTATTTAGTTACTTTTCTTGTTTGCTACATGTATTTAGTTACTTTTATTGTGTGCTACATGTATTTAGTTACTTTTCTTGCGTGCTATATATATTTAGTTACTTTTCTTGTGTGCTACATGTATTTAGCTACTTTTCTTGTGTGCTACATGTATTTAGTTAATTGTCTTGTGTGCTATATGTATTTAGTTACTTTTCTTGTGTGCTACATGTATTTAGTTACTTTTCTTGTGTGCTACATGTATTTAGTTACTTTTCTTGTGTGCTATATGTATTAAGTTACTTTTCTTGTGTGCTACATGTATTTAGCTACTTTTCTTGTGTGCTACAGATATTTAGTTGCTTGTCTTGTGTGCTATATGTTTTTAGTTACTTTTTTTGTGTGCTACATGTATTTAGCTACTTTTCTTGTGTGCTACATGTATTTAGTTACTTTTCTTGTGTGCTACGTGTATTTAGTTACTTGTATTGTGTGCTACATGTATTTAGTTACTTTTCTTGTGTGCTATATATATTTAGTTACTTTTCTTGTGTGCTACATGTATTTAGCTACTTTTCTTGTGTGCTTCATGTATTTAGTTACTTGTCTTGTGTGCTATATGTATTTAGTTACTTTTCTTGTGTGCTACGTGTATTTAGTTACTTTTCTTGTGTGCTACATGTATTTAGTTACTTTTCTTGTGTGCTATATGTATTAAGTTACTTTTCTTGTGTGCTACATGTATTTAGCTACTTTTCTTGTGTGCTACATATTTTTAGTTGCTTGACTTGTGTGCTATATGTTTTTAGTTACTTTTTTGTGTGCTACATGTATTTAGCTACTTTTCTTGTGTGCTATATGTATTTAGTTACTTTTAATGTGTGCTATATGTATTTAGCTACTTTTCTTGTGTGCTACATGTATTTAGCTACTTTTCTTGTGTGCTGCATGTATTTAATTACTTTTCTTGTGTGCTACATGTATTTAGCTACTTTTCTTGTGTGCTACATGTATTTAGTAACTTTTATTGTGTGCTACATGTATTTAGTTACTTTTCTTGTGTGCTACATGTATTTAGTTACTTTTATTGTGTGCTACATGTATTTAGTTACTTTTCTTGCGTGCTATATATATTTAGTTACTTTTCTTGTGTGCTACATGTATTTAGCTACTTTTCTTGTGTGCTACATGTATTTAGTTACTTGTCTTGTGTGCTATATGTATTTAGTTACTTTTCTTGTGTGCTACATGTATTTAGTTACTTTTCTTGTGTGCTACATGTATTTAGTTACTTTTCTTGTGTGCTTTATGTATTAAGTTACTTTTCTTGTGTGCTACATGTATTTAGCTACTTTTCTTGTGTGCTACATATATTTAGTTGCTTGTCTTCTGTGCTATATGTTTTTAGTTACTTTTTGTGTGTGCTACATGTATTTAGCTACTTTTCTTGTGTGCTACATGTATTTAGTTACTTTTCTTGTGTGCTATGTGTATTTAGTTACTTGTATTGTGTGCTACATGTATTTAGTTACTTTTCTTGTGTGCTATATATATTTAGTTACTTTTCTTGTGTGCTACGTGTATTTAGCTACTTTTCTTGTGTGCTACATGTATTTAGTTACTTGTCTTGTGTGCTATATGTATTTAGTTACTTTTCTTGTGTGCTACGTGTATTTAGTTACTTTTCTTGTGTGCTACATATATTTAGTTACTTTTCTTGTGTGCTATATGTATTAAGTTACTTTTCTTGTGTGCTACATGTATTTAGCTACTTTTCTTGTGTGCTACATATTTTTAGTTGCTTGTCTTGTGTGCTATATGTTTTTAGTTACTTTTTGTGTGCTACATGTATTTAGCTACTTTTCTTGTGTGCTATATGTATTTAGTTACTTTTAATGTGTGCTATATGTATTTAGCTACTTTTCTTGTGTGCTACATGTATTTAGCTACTTTTCTTGTGTGCTACATGTATTTAGCTACTTTTCTTGTGTGCTACATGTATTTAGCTACTTTTCTTGTGTGCTACATGTATTTAGTTATTTTTCTTGTGTGCTTCATGTATTTAGTTACTTTTCTTGTGTAGCGACTTTAAAGTTTCTTTCCTTATGAATGCATTTTCTTCTTCTTTTCTTCTTCTTTTTCTTCTTCTTTTTCTTCTTCTTCTTCTTTGCGTTCACCAGCTGTAAACTCTGTCGGAAACTTATGGGTGTTTATCCACTTCTGGACTACAGTTCTATTCAAAAACCTGAATGTTGCATGCGCATCTGTTTTACAGATCCGACTGATTTGTATGCAAACTGCTGGTTCCTTACCTCTCAGGCAGATGCACTCGGACTTTGAAGGAAGCTCCCAAGTAGTCGACTCTTACGACATGCTTTTGGGTAGACAGTTGGGATATAATATATACGATAGTGCCCCGGAACCCATACAGGGAGTGCATTCTTGATTTGTATCTGCTCTGGTTACTTCTACAGCCTTTTATTTGACATCCCATTTCTATGTTTACTGTTTTTTGTTTCTTGTTTTATATTTTACAAGTGACCTAAACATATGTAACTCGCTTACTTACTGTCAAATGTATCCATGACGGTAAGACACCTTGAGTGGCAGTAATTACGACAAGGTCACTTCTAGTGCTAGTAAATTTTACTGAATCGTTGCCTGTGTCAGTAATTTTGACATAAAATTTTATATATGTCAGTAACTGTGACAATAACGCTGGTGTAATAGGAGTTAGTAATTTTACAGATGTATTTTTGAGTCAGGATCTTGACAAAATCTCTGATTTGTCAGTAATTTTGACAAGATTAGAAGTAGCGTCAGCAATTCTGGAAGGTTTAAACTTGTGTTAGCAATTCTGACAAGATCGCACCGGTATCAGTAGTTTTAACAAGATTACAACTAGCGTCAGTAATTCTGGAAGGTTTAAACGTGTGTTAGCAATTCTTGTATACATAAAGATTCCTCTTGTGTCAGTAATTCTAAATCAGATCCCACTTGTGTCAGTAATTCTGAATAAGATCCTACTTGTGTCAGTAATTCTGAATAAGATCCCTATTTGTGTCAGTAATTCTGAAAAAGATCCCTCTTGTGTCAGTAATTCTGAATAAGATCCCACTTGTGTCAGTAATTCTAAATAAGATCCCACTTGTGTCAGTAATTCTGAATAAGATCCCACTTGTGTCAGTAATTCTGAATAAGATCCCACTTGTGTCAGTAATTCTGAATAAGGTCACACTTGTGTCAGTGTCACGAGACGACCTCAGTGGTTCCAGAAGTTAGTACTTGTAATAGTTCTTCTGGTTATTGAGAGACAAGAGACTATGCCCTTAAACCAAATGTTACTTTAAACCGCACGGATTTAATTGTTACCAGTCCTTCTCCGAGACAAAGCCACTGCGCTTTGTTTAAAATTACATAACACTACGTAATACAGCCCGCTGGATTAGACTAGGGATGTTAGGTTTGATTCTCATGCCAGTGTCAGAATGTTATCTCCTGACCACAGACTGTAGAGGCCAGCGAACGGGGAACTTAGTATCACACCTGAGATTAGCTTCCCTGAGCTGGACCTTGGTGGCATAAAGGTTACCTAACA